ACAGAAAGCGGCTGTCACAGCATGTGAGTACTAAACTAAGTTCTCTTTCACATAGAAGTTTACGTTAAAAACACACGAGTTACACAAACAGTGGGTTATGTCTGTGAAGGTAAACAGCTGGGAAATAAATCGCATGTTTATTTTAGATCTGTGTGACTGTACATCCAAACACAGAACAGTTAGCATGTTTTGCTCAAACTTTCGCCAAGGCATTAGAGCTCGTATACCGTTGTCGCTTGCGAAATCAAAATGACGGCGTCCCTGGCTGTAAACTTACAGATTAAGGGGCGGTGATATTATAATGAGATCCCTTTGCCACGTCACCAAGGGAGCGAAATCAGACGCGTTCGTTTTCTCAGACGCTTGCAGAAAAAGGCTCACCAAAACAAAGTTACTGGGTTAATCTTTTTCACGTTTCCTTGGTTGGTAGATGCACCGGGGACCTGATTATAGCACTTAAAACCTGGAAAAGTCAGATTTTCATGATATGTCACCTTTAAAAAAAAAAAAAAAAGCAGAATTCTGGCACAAGCCCCTACAGATTCTTGAGTGTGACCCAAATGCACTGGTGCTGGCATGAAACACAAACTTTGTTACCGGTGTGTGAGCGTTGAGATGGTGAGATGAGGAGCACTCTCTCGGAGAGGTCGGCCTGTGTGTTGAGCCAGCGGAGCGGCCCTTGTTCTGCTAGACTTCCTCTCTCCCACATGTCGATGACGACGCATACTCCACCACGACTCTGCAGACTGTCAGCCAGGAGCATCACAGAGCGCTGAAACACACTGTCTACTGCAGGGTACACGAGCAGCACGCGCACAGACTCCGCGCGCCTCGAGCCACGAACCCAGCGGAAGCTTTGACCTGAGAGAGTGATCAGAGTAACATACTAACACACTACTTTTACCGCTTCTGCAGTCTGTGTCCAGAGGCCTGCTCTGCTTTTTCAGGCTCATGAAGATGGATTGGTTTTAGAACAAAGTGACATATATCTAATGCAATAAAGTGACTGCACCTGTATCTCCTGCACCAGCTTAAAGCACTTCACAGTGACATAATCTGAAAGACAAAGGCCCAATCCCAATTCTACCCCTTAGCCCTTCCCCTTTTGTCTCGATTCTCTTTTGGTTGGAGGGGTAGGGGTAAGGGGAAGGGCCAAATAGCCCTTCAAACGAAGATTTTTCGATACCACACTTCAAACGAAGGGGTATGAATTATCTCAGAGTAAACCGGCGTCAGCGGCAAAATGGCTGCCCGAGCGAACAAAAAGACATAAATGCAAGCATTTTTGGCATTAATAAAGATTTTAACGAAAAGTAATCCTTTGTTTTGTTACATTCAATCGTGAGTTCATATTTACGGCCATGTTACTCAAAGAAATGTTTGCAAAAAATCATTAAAGTTTGCTAACGTCATATCATCACTGACATGCAGTATAGTGCCACAACATAGGCTATTTTCATGTCTGATCGGGGCAATAATAACCACCGTAGACATTGAGGAGGGCTAGTACCCCCAATAATTAGAAATCGCTAAACCCTTTTCTGAAATATTGCCAATTCGAGAGAGAGAGAGAGAGATGAAATTTGTGTGTGTGCGTTTCTCTTTTTAGAGTGAGTTTACTTCAAAAACAGCAATTTTATCCTCTAGTTACTGGAAAATATAACGAGCGATTCAATATTTAAACTGTTATTAATAAAAGTCGTGGGGCAGCGTTGACAAGTCTCTTTGCTCCTGGATGTGTGATCTGCGCGATATCTGATTGTGTGTGTGTGTGTGTGTGTGTGTGTGTGTGTCAGTAAGCAGCACATTAATATAGAACGGTAATTAAAGGCTCTAATGCACACCAGCACATATACGTATAGTAGTGGTGTCCCAATTCTTAGGGGAATATTTTCAACCCTACCCCTTGACGCTCTGTTTCAAGGGACAAGGGGAAGGGGAAGGCGGAGGGGTATCAAATAGAATTGGGATTTGGCCAAAATCTGCTGCTCATTTTTGGCTGCTCGCTGTAGATGTTACACTTTCACGTGCACAAGCTCCAGAGTTCATCAATAGCTCTGGATCAAACCCGGAGTTGACAGAAATCGTCTAAACTGTGTGTCAACTCTAAGTCTACTCTGAAACAGGCCACTGGAGATGTGTCCATAATATCTCATATTTCAACTATTATTGACCACATCTCTGTGTGTAGAGGTATAAAATTTGAAAGCAAATTTTAAATCCTTTTCTTTTCACTTACACACGATGCAGCAACAGAGAAGCACGAAGAGAAGCGCCAGCACACATCCAACACCAATGTCCAAAGCAGATCTGTCTGGAATAAAACACCACGAGAGTAAGCACAGAATTGCTCTGAACAGAGAAGCAGTGAAACGAGAAGATGAGTTACAGGATACTCACTCGGACAGTTCACTTTTTGAGCCTCCCATTCACTTGCTTTCTGACAGTCTTTAAAGTGAGGCTTTATCTGCCATTATATAAAACCATATCAATGTTAGTAAAATCCTTCTTTATTATATGTTTATAGCTATTTCTGTTGTATATTTTTTATCTTTTGTCTTTTTTTGGGGTGGGGGTGAGGGGACAGGTCAAGGAGAGACGGGAAGTGAAAGGATACAAAAGGGATGTACAGTGGGGCAAAAAAGTATTTAGTCAGCCACCAATTGTGCAAGTTCTCCCACTTAAAAAGATGAGAGAGGCCTGTAATTTTCATCATAGGTATACCTCAACTATGAGAGACAAAATGAGAAGAAAAAAAATCTAGAAAATCACATTGTAGGATTTTTAAAGAATTAATTGGTAAATTCCTCGGTAAAATAAGTATTTGGTCACCTACAAACAAGCAAGATTTCTGGCTCTCACAGACCTGTAACTTCTTCTTTAAGAGGCTCCTCTGTCCTCCACTCGTTACCTGTATTAATGGCATCTGTTTGAACTCGTTATCAGTATAAAAGACACCTGTCCACAACCTCAAACAGTCACACTCCAAACTCCACCATGGCCAAGACCAAAGAGCTGTCAAAAGACACCAGAAACAAAATTGTAGACCTGCACCAGGATGGGAAGACTGAATCTGCAATAGGTAAACAGCTTGGTGTGACTGAAATATTGCCAATTCGAGAGAGAGAGAGAGAGATGAAATTTGTGTGTGTGCGTTTCTTTTTTTAGAGTGAGTTTACTTCAAAAACAGCAATTTTATCCTCTAGTTACTGGAAAATATAACGAGCGATTCAATATTTAAACTATTAATAAAAGTCGTGGGGCAGCGTTGACAAGTCTCTTTGCTCCTGGATGTGTGATCTGCGCGATATCTGATTGTGTGTGTGTGTGTGTGTGTGTGTGTGTGTGTCAGTAAGCAGCACATTAATATAGAACGGTAATTAAAGGCTCTAATGCACACCAGCACATATACGTATAGTAGTGGTGTCCCAATTCTTAGGGGAATATTTTCAACCCTACCCCTTGACGCTCTGTTTCAAGGGACAAGGGGAAGGGGTAGGCGGAGGGGTATGAAATAGAATTGGGATTGGGCCAAAATCTGCTGCTCATTTTTGGCTGCTCGCTGTAGATGTTACACTTTCACGTGCACAAGCTCCAGAGTTCATCAATAGCTCTGGATCAAACCCGGAGTTGACAGAAATCGTCTAAACTGTGTGTCAACTCTAAGTCTACTCTGAAACAGGCCACTGGAGATGTGTCCATAATATCTCATATTTCAACTATTATTGACCACATCTCTGTGTGTAGAGGTATAAAATTTGAAAGCAAATTTTAAATCCTTTTCTTTTCACTTACACACGATGCAGCAACAGAGAAGCACGAAGAGAAGCGCCAGCACACATCCAACACCAATGTCCAAAGCAGATCTGTCTGGAATAAAACACCAGAATATGTTATGAAATGAATTTTAATTGTTCTTATTTCACTGGAATTTTTGTTTTCAGCAACATTTTGTAAGGTTTTATGATTTACCAGATATCTGTATTGGAAAACAAAACTACTGACGGAGAAAATGACTTCCCACATATTTTGACCAATGAGATTGGATAATGTTTGATTAACACTAGATTAGGGAACACATATTCACTATTAATTGAGAGTTTTCCCTCAATAAACTCCTAATTTGCTGCTTATTGACAGTAAGTAATGCAGTTGTTGTAGGGGTTATGTTTCAGTATGGGGTAGGATTAAGGGATCTAGAATATGGTCATGCATTAATATGTGCTTTATAAATACTAATAAACTGCCAGATTGCTAGTAATACGCATGCTAATAAGCAACTAGTTAATAGTGAAGAGTGTTCTCTAATTCATAATAATTAATCTTATAAAACATCTATCAATTTCTAGCCACTGAAAAATGTCCATGACATTTCCGTTAAATGTCATGGACATTTCAATTCAAGGTTCAAGGTTTTTTTCTTGACCGAATAACCCTGCATGCATTCTAATAAAGCATATATTATTTTGAGGCTATATGATGTGCATCACAGACATCATTCGGGTAAAGATTAGGTCTTATTTTATAGTTACCCTTATCTTAAGGTCTTCACAGGGACCCATGTATTCCATGTATTCTAGTTCCACTTCACATTTTTCTACTTTGCATTCCTGCAAGACAAAGAAACACATATGAAAAAAATGACTGCACAGACTTTTCCACTTGTTTTTCACTTGTTTATACTTAAAACAAGTGAAAATAATCTGCCAGTGCAGCGTATGCAATATACACAAGTAAATATAGCAAATTTATTTAAATGTTTTTTTCGGTGACGCGCCACACACATATAATTTTTTCCACTCAATTATGTCGTAATAACGAGATGCCATGTCGTTAAAACGACAACTTTTTCTCGTTAAACGACATCTTTTCTCATAATAACGTTACGTTGTTAAAACTGCATAATTATCTCGTTAACCCTCAAGCATCCTTCGTATAGCAGCCCTTAATTGGTCCTTAGTGGATCAATTTGGCCATATCACTATCTTCCATAAAATAAAAAACTATCAATTTATGCAATTTTTGTGATTTTTTTTTACCTCTAAAAGTACCATATTTTTATGTTATATTCAATATTTATTTTACTTCAGTGTGTATATGTATATATATATATATATGAATTTGGCTGTATTACACAATGGCTACATATACTGTAGGCTGAAATAATTGTTGTAATGAACTTAACCTCTTAAGTTTTAGATTTGATCACAAGTTAAAATTGTAGAATAAAAAAAATTAAAAAAACACATTTGTGTTGGGTGAGACTTAAGACGACGTGGATCAGCTGAGCTGACTGACGTGACCTGATGTGACGCTGAGCTTGACTTTTGTCATATTTTCCAGCTGGTTGAAGTGTTGATTTGTCCTTTGAATTAGTTTTTGCATGAAATGAAATATTGAGGAGAAACATACCCCTTTCCCTCCAACAGGTTTTAGCAGTAGATGTGTGCTGTTTGTCAGTACGATGGTGTGTCTCTCCGCCACGAGACTCGTATTGAAGCTCACCACTATTTTATCTCCATGAAGCACTGAATAAATGTCAGCATTCCACTGAACTTCAGCTAGCAAGTCAATCAAACAGAAGAACAGTCAGTCGCCAAAACACTGAACAGCATGTTATGAAACCACTAGCACTGTGTATTAAACTTCATTGTGTGAATGATGCCTCAAATCATGTGTGCTGCTGTTATTGAACTCATCAGATGCACAGTTTTCGCCTTTCCACCTCGATCACAAGCTTACCTTGACATCAGAGCTGTGTCTGAAATGTATATAGTCCACTATTTCAGACATTAACACATTTAGAAGTGAGTTTGCATGTTGACCCTGTGGAGCTCTGGTTTTCCCCACAAACCAAAGACATGCAGTATAGGTGAACCGGAGACACTAAATAGTGTGAGAGTGAATGCGTGAGTCTATTAATTGAATGAAATGGACTATATAACATTCACTAATAGGGAATAATGAACGAGGAGATATAGCACAGAATATTGCAGACTTGATGCCAACTCGAACATCATGGCAGTGCATTTTCCACGTCTGAGCACCACTCTCATTTGCATATAATATTTCAGGAAGTGCCTGTAGATCTCAAATGAAACTTTAAACACAATGGGTGGAAGCTCATCGATCTGATGGCATTCCTGCATTCCTGTCTGTCTCTAATAATGTCTCGCCACATAGAAAAGAGGAGATAAAAGAAGTGGCTATAAGAACAAATAAATCTAACCTGTTTGGGTCATCTTTTCATATTCTTCATTCGCCTCATCAGACGGTGTTGGAATATTATAGGCAGATATGTCATAACTGGTTGAAGGACAAACAGATACATTTGGCACAGTGAAACTGAACCATAACTGTCAATCAAGAGAAGGAAAAGATTAGGACACAGAATCAATTACGCTGTATAACAAACGAACAAAAAAGCAACTTTTAATTGGTTAACAGTACTTTCCCTTACTATGCATGGCGTGTTGTAGTACTAACAGGGCAAGTGTAATTGTACAGTAAAATACTGTTGAATGTACAGTTTTTGGAAGAAAAAAGAACAAGTCATTTATGATTAAAAATAAATCAATAAAAATTATATTGACATTCCCAGAAGTGACTCATTTGATTTGTTGAAATAACTATCTTTCTTCTTAGGTTTTTCTTATCAGTCATGTACATTAGGGTTTATGTCACATCTTGTGTTGTTAAATGAATGTTTAATTCATTATTAATTTAGTGTCAAGTGTGTTACCGTGTGTCACGATTTCGGTTCATGGACTTCCGTTTATTCACCACCAGATGTCACCCTTTCCATTACATTGACTCTCGCACTACACAAACTGTTGCATAGCTCCCCGGACTACATTTCCCATCATTCTTTGCACAATTTGCACACTGCCCTGATTGCACTCATTTCACACAGCTGTTTTTAATTACCTCACTCATTATATAACACCCACTCTTACCACATTTCTCTGCTGAGTATTGTTTAGCCTGTACCCCTTTCTGAGTCTCCGTGTTTTCCTAGTTTTGCCTTGCCTTGTCTGTTTTCTCCGGTTTTGATCTTTGCCTGTTTTCCTGGATTCCTCCCTTTAGCCTTGCAGTAAAAAGTAATGCATTGCAATATTGCTTTACTCCATGAAAAAGTAACTAATTACGTTACTTAGTTACTTTTTATGGAAAGTAATGTGTTACGTTACTTTTGCGTTACTTTTTAAGTCTGGACAGGGCTTGCTTGTTTGTTTTTAAAAATAAAAAAAGTTATATTTTTGGCAAATATAAAAGCCTTTTCACACCAAAAGTGAAATGAATAAACCTCAGGCTGAAGGGAAAGTACATTTACGTCTGTACAGTAGAATGCAGAAGAAGACATTTCAGCACACTTCAGCAATAAAAAAAGACACACAAATGTTTGTCTAGAGTAATTTGTGCTTATTAGTACGGTTGAACTGGATCATCGAAGATCAGAAGCAAAGCAATTGGTTGATATTTGTGTTGTTTAACATTTAATTATTGCAGGTTTGCATCATATTCTGAGTTGCATTATTTGTATTCATTTTGAGGAATACTGAATCTGTGTTTTTTTGAGTGAGGGAGATTAATTAATGCATATTCATATTTATTTTAGAACTACAGTAACATCATCTGATTTCTCTCAACATGGGGACAGGAGAGCTGTCAGTCAATAAATTGGAAAAAAAGTAACTTGCGTTACTTATTTGAAAAAGTAACTCAGATATTCTCTTGTAAATTAAAAAGTAATTTTACTAGTTACTTTTGAAAAAAAGTAATCTGATTACGTAACTCGCGTTACTTGTAATGCGTTACCCCCAACACTGCTGATGACTAGTAGTTCAGTTCAGAATTTCTGTCCTTTCTTTACCTGTTCTTGACCAGTGAGGTTGATTTGCTCGGAGGTAAATGGAGGCTGGTACTGACATCTGTAATGTGAGTCAGACTCTCTAGAAAGTGTTATCCATGTGCCAATAAGACTGTGAATGCTGCCTAAGAAGACAATGTTCAAATTGACACATATTATGTCCAACTCCAAAATATTCACTCTTAACATTTGCAATTTATAGCCTCATAAATTTACAGCCTTTGCCATTCACACTGGCTTTTACCTGCTCCCATGATGCAACACAAACAACATATACACATCATTAAAAGTGGTAGATGGCCACTGTCCGACAAATTTCAGCTTAACTGCAAACCATCTGCTGAAGTCATATAGTGAGATTTGTAGAGCGGTGTGATCTGATGTGAAACTAATGTGATCAGCTGGAATTGTGTCTAATCAGGCTTTTCTCTTTTCCGTTTGCAAAAAGCATTTTTCATGATTCTGCAGTTTTTAATCACATGTTACTTTTCAGCATATAGTGTAATTTAACAGTTTCATTAAACACTTCGTAAAGTGTCACACGTCATTCCAGCCATAAGGGAATAATATAGACACATTTTTACCAAGTGAACATTTTTCTGAAACCAATGCTGTTCATTCAAGTGCCATCATTCACCTCATTACTGACGGCCCTGCTGGGACGTTTAAGACGATCCCTCTGAATCATGAAGCAGCATCTGATGGCACTCAGCATCACATCAATCAGACAGCTCATTTCAAACCGGACGTCAGTCGTTATCTTGAAAAGAATGAGCAGCACTTCCTCCTTCACCAAAACTACTTCTGCCACAGGACCAGTGATAACCCAAGGCTTGTTTTTCATAAAACATCCTACAATTACCTGATAATGAAAAAACCCTAAATGATGAAACATTCTGTAACAAGCGATATCTCTGACGGATGTCAAACTGACGTGCATACAAAATATTTCAACAATCATTGCTTTCTACTAACAAAACCATCTTGTGTCAGTTCATTAAATAAATAAGTAAAATACAAAAGTAACTTTTTCATCAAATGTGTTTTAAAATGATAACACAATGTAACATTACATTTTGATGCTTCTTCTGTAATTCTGTGGTGCTAATTATTATTGTACTATCTATTTTCATGTAGCATCAATATTTTGGTAAATATTTAGGTCGGGAATAGAATAACTTCTGTCTTTAACTATGAAACATTGATTTATTACAGATGACTTTTTACTAATTTTGTATGATTTATTTATTTATTTGACAAATTTCGATTTTGCAAAGATGGGAAAATTCTAGAACATTCCAGAATATTCTGGGACTAGTCATAAAAGACAAAAATCATCCAGCATACAACACTCCTGAAATTTTGGACGACTCACTTTTGCCAACTGTTTATGTTAAACTTGTTTTTAGCTCAGAATTATGCTTGTACCATGTAATTTTTTATCATGAGTAATAACAGATTAGCTTGTATAAATTGTCAACATCATTTTTTTATTTTTAGTTTTTATGAGCACTGTTAATGATACACAAAAATCATGTGATTTCGTATTCAGCATGTCAAACTTCATAAAGAAACATTAAAAATAAAACTTTTATAAAAAATTTGTTTCACTGTGTAATTAATATGGGTATAATTGATCACGTACATAATATTGCACATCAAGTGAATCTTAGTTTCCCATAATTCCATCAATGACTATTTCTCATGAATTCCAAAAAGACATTTATTCACCAACCAGAAAAGAGACCTGTGTATGACTGAATAAACTCAGAAAGAATCAAAACCACACAGAACTAAAAAAAAAACAAATCACTTACTGTGATGTCACTTACTATCAATATTAATAGACCATCTTAAAATGAGAGAGGTTTGAGATTCGCTCAGCTCCGCAGTCAGCTCATGTAAGGGTGAAGGGTTCGATTTATGGCTTTCAAACCATTCGTTGGGTATTTCATTCTCTAAAAAATACATACATACAAATAAATAAATAATAAGAAGAAAGAAAGAAAGAAAGAAAGAAAGAAAGATGTATTTTAACACTTACCATCTTTGTTACATGTGGCAACCTGTGAATATCAAAAGAGATATATGGTTTAATTAAGCTCTGATCAAATGATTTTTATAAAAATATTTCTGCTATGAGATGACAGTGTACTTACTATACCGAGAGAACTGCTGTCTGAAGTTGTCCACTGGATTAAAAAGAAAAAAGCAACAATTTCCCTCATGCAGTCTAGAAGTTCCATTTGAACAGACCTGAACACAAATCTCTGTTGAAATGAGCCGTGGCTCTGCTTTTATATCTTCTCCAACAGAAAACGCCCACACACCACATGCACACAGCAGCAGATTGTCATCAGCCGCTCACAAATCACACAACAGTTCATGACTGTACTGCTGTCTTCCAGAAATCCCTCCTCATAGAAAACATTAAGTCACCTTTATTTATATAGCGCTTTATACAATACTGATTGTGTCAAAGCAGCTTTACAGTGTTAAACAGGAAAATAGTTTGTCAATAATGCAAGAGGACAATAACAAAGAGTCATTTTTCAGCTAAAGTCAGTTCATTGATGATTGAGTGATGTCATCATCCAGTTCAGCTCTCGGCCAATAGTGTCTGTGCAATCAGTCAAGCGTCTCCAACTAAGCAAGCCAAAGGCAACAGTGGCAAAAAACCAAAACTCCATCGGTGACAGAAATGGAGAAAAAACCTTGGGAGAAACCAGGCTCAGTCGGGGGCCAGCTCTCCTTTGGACAGACGAAACCAGCATGATATGGTTTAATGCCAGGCTGCAACACAGGTCAAATTGTGCAGAGGACTCGTATGGTTCCTGTGGTCTTGTGCCGATGGTTGTCAAGGTGATGAGGTCTTCACAGGGGATCTGTCTCTGGGACGCATCTAGTTGACATGGTCTCTGCTGATATTCAGGGCTGTAGAGGTCGTCTCTAGGTGCTGATCCACCATCTGATCTGGATATGGACTGGATCTGTATGGCTACGGTGACCACGGAATAAGATTGAAAGAGACTAATATTAGCGTAGATGCCATTCTTCTTATGATGCAGCGAGTAAATCTGGTGTTATGAGAAGTGTTCCCAGAAATAATATCTATCTAGTTAATTTAATGTCAATTTCATTTAAAATGACTCTAGAATGTTTACTAATGTTAATTCATATTTAATAGTATATTCTTATAAGATTACTGATCAATCATGAATAAATGGTTCACAGATGACCATTTTACATTAAGGTACAATTTTGCAGGTGAAGTTTATATCTCATGAATATAAATTTCAAGTTCGCTGGAGTCCATCCAAGATTAAGGATCACTGAAAAATAATTAAATATAAAGTCAAGTCATCTTTATTACTATAGCGATTCATACAATACAGATTTGGTCAAAACAGCTTCAGAGTGATAAAGAGGAAAATAACAGAATCAATTATGAAAATGTAACTAAATTGAACTATGGACACAGTTCCAGTGGCGGCTGGTGCAAAATTTTCTAGGTAGGGCACCACATCCAACAATTGTAGCATACATCCCAGTATAACAAAAGGAAAAATATTAAGACTTGAAACATTCTAAATAAAGATAATTGTTTTACCACATTCGAAATTAAGTTTGAGGATGATTCCTACAAAACTGTATTTTCTGCAATTCTGTTTTTTTTTTTTTTTTTCATAGTTCACAGTTCATTTTCTATTGTCTAACTACAAGTCAAGCTGCAATACCAAACAGGACCACACGGAGATGCCAACAAACCAATATACCAGTTGCCTCAACCTGACTGAATATAAATCTATATATGGATTGATTCAGAATTATTAAACAGAGCAAAACACAATTAAAAAAAGCAAATAAAAACATTCTGAATGTGGTGATCTGAAGGCGGCTCGACATGAGCAGTGAACAGTTCCTCTGTCAGAGTGAGTGTTGATGATGCCCATATGTTTATAGTGGCGAGGCTACATAAGTAGCACTGACCCACCCAGATTGACGGCTGGCCCGCCCAATCAAATGAGGGAAGAAGAATAATCCTTCATACATTACAGTCTCCACTTTTACACAGACATGCCCTCTTTTTGGACCTAAAAAAATGTGTCCAGCATTTTTTAATCGATTTCTAAATTGCCCAAAACGTCCGGGATTCGGGTTTTCATTGTTTGAAAACAATGAAAACCCGCTCCTGCGACCTGTATGTTCCGCTCCCAAGATTCTTGTGTCCAGTCTCGCCCGCTCCCGCAAACATTCTAAAATTGCATAGAATTTTCGCATATCAGGGAGCCACTATCAATATGCGGAGTACAATCTCTTTTGAATGAGCGCTCGCTGTTCACTTTCGATTTCGCGTTCACGCGTGATCTGTGCAAAGGAAGCACATCTTATGAGACAGGATATTTTTCAATGAGCTCAGGATCTGTTGGAGCAGCAAATCCTCCAGTATGATCTTGTTAGTCATCTCTCCTCTCAACCAGTGATCAGTGAAATCTGAATTCCTGTCAACCCTCCCGTTTTTCCCGGGATTCGGGGATTACCATTCTATCTTGCTATCATCCGGTTTAAATATTTTCCCATGTTTCTCCCATATTTTTAATCTTTCTATAAAAAAAAAATCCCTCTGGGCATATTTTATATGTTTGCTACATTCGCTTCCAGTAAAACTCCCATAATTTGTAATGGGCCAAACCTCATATGAAAAATCATGTGTGAGAGGTGAGTCCACCAAAGGTTGTCCAGTTGCCAGATATTGTTTGAAATGCATCTTTCTCACACGATCAACGCATATAAATTTCAATCCATTTGTCCCCTCAACTTGGCAACCTACAGCCCAGTGATGCTATTGATATGTGCGCAGGGGCCTGTTTCAGTTAGTCTGACTTATTTTGAACCAAATCAACTGACAATATGTCAGACTAACTGAAGTAAGCCTGGCTTATTTGGTAAAATCGTTTTATGAAACAGGCCCCAGGTAGTACCGCGGGAAGGAAACAATGATCACTGGTAGAAATGGGAAGAGAAGGTGGTGCTCCAGTGAAAAAAACTAAATATACATGTAAATTGAGATAGCATACACTTCAAAAGGCTATGGTTTAATTGATTAAATATGAGCGCTGCAAGTTTCAAAGTCAGGTGCTGTGCTGCTTTGTACTGCAGTTACAGGGGAAATGTCTAATGTCTAAAGCGCCACCTGCTGGCAGAGAATGAATTTGCATTTTTTAATAAGCCCTTCTGCTCTGTTCAGACCAAAGCCAAAAACTACCCTTATTTTTACGCCGAAAACACGCAGTTATAAATGTGAACTGGTGAATCGACAAGAAGATAATGAATTATAAAACTCTAAAGATATAGCCTACACTAAGATATATTTATGTTACTAAATGAATATAATTGTTTTATAATAATTGTTTAAATTAATATAAAAATAATATAATATAATATAAAAATTGTTACTGTCTAATGTCTAAAGCGCCTTTTCCTTTGTGACTGTTTACGAAGTCAGTAAGTCTATAATGACTAGCGTTGTAAACAGTGTTGGGGAAAGTTACTTTTAAAAGTAATGCATTACAATGTTGCGTTACTCCATAAAAATGTAACTAATTTTCCTTTGTGACTGTTTACGAAGTCAGTAAGTCTATAATGACTAGCGTTGTAAATAGTGTTGGGGAAAGTTACTTTTAAAAGTAATGCATTACAATGTTGCGTTACTCCATAAAAATGTAACTAATTACGTTACTTAGTTACTTTTTATGGAAAGTAATGCGTTACGTTACTTTTGCGTTTTCCTTTTTAAATCTGGACAGGGTATTTTAGAACTACAGTTACAACTGATTTCTCTCAACATGGGGACAGGAGAGCTGTCAATCAATAAATTGGGGAAAAAGTAACTCAGATATTCTCTTGTAAATTAAAAAGTAATGCTTACTAGTTACTTGAAACAAGTAATCTGATTACGTAACTTGCGTTAATTGTAATGCATTACCAGATTTTAAAACACTGGCCATCATACACTCACCGACTTTTTTAATAGTCACAGAGGAAAAACTGGCCATCATACATTAAAGTCTGGTAGTGTATGATCCTCAGTCGTTTAAAATCGTTCCGGTCACAAAAATCACACGAAATTTGCATCCTTATTTTTATCTCATGTAGGCTATTGTAAAATGATTTTTGAAAGAGGCACTGACTGAGGTCCACCCTATGTTACCCAGGTCCACTCAATTTAAAATTTCTGGCCTCGCCACTGATATAAACACCACTGGCCGCAGAAAACTCCTATAAAAACAAGCTTCTTCAGCGAGTGTCCATTAGAAAACACCTGCCAGACATGTGATCATACTGTGCTATCAGAGAGCGCACATGAATGGTCTGTTTGTTTGCTCACTAATAGGCCTGATAACGGAATCGCGCGTCTATTTGTACGATTGCTGTATGCCACTGTAATCATCTTTACCTCCATTACAATCATCATCCATCTAAACTTCACTGGTGAGATATTGGTTTGCTTAATTCAGCCCTACTGACTTCAGCTTAAAGATCATTAATAGAGGTATGTTTGTTCCCTCCAATCGCTGCACAAGTTAAGGTTATGTATGATGATGAAATCACGTTAGTGCTAGCCCGAAAAAAAATCTTTCTATGGAAGTCTACAGTATTAACCCTCTGGGCGATTCTCGCCCAAAAAGGGGCGGTACTCCACAGAACGTGGCTTGATGCTGATTGGACTATATATCCAGAGCTATGATCCAGGGGCAGAATAAAGTCAAATAGGGCCTACAGCATTAACACTGTAGTTGAATGTGATGAAAAAAAACCTCCCTCTCTTTCATTTGTTGGTGATGAGAAGTGTCTGCAGAGATTATCTTACGATAGAGAGAGGAGAGGGTCTGTATTACTTACTATTGGAGAAAGCATACGGTCAACTTAGATAACGTGTGCCTTAATAACCAATCACAATACCTTGACGTCATTGAATTTCTGGAATGAATTTCCATAGGAATGAATGAGAAGTGCCGTAAGCTGAATCATTGACATCCATTCAAAAAAACGACCTCTGGTCTCCTTTCCCACGTACTGGCAAACCGGAAGCATTAGCTTAAGCCGTTATGCTTTTTTGGCTAAAGGTTGCAGGCTTGCCTTTTAGTGGCTTTGCCGTCTGACTAAAGCGGCAACCTTCTGGTCTCTCTCATGAAACCAGCACGGAAGTGACTTAAACTGCAATTCATCGACTGGCCGCTAGAGACTGGCTC